AAAAGTTATCGCGAAAAAGAGATGCAGCAACGGTTCAATACATGAGCAGAGTTAATCTGATGACATGTTGGAGACAAGAAATAAATATGCTACATACATGGCAAGTAAAAGCATGGCATGGAGGTACTAGTTGCACATAACAAATGATGTTTACTGAACATGAGCATATGACCCCTAGATCAATGGGATTCATCAAGGCAAGTTGCAAAGTTAAAACAGATTCTCAGACACTGTGTGGCAGAAACAGATTGAAGATGCACACTTGGAGGCAAGAATTAAATATACTATAGGGCAAGAACATGGCATCAAAAGGTATGCATGATATAGCATAACATAAACTGAGGCTAGAAGTAGCATGTGCCAAAGCATACAACAAGATGCTGGTGTTTTACTCGGGAAGAGAATGATAAATAAGAAATCTTGCTTCCCACCGTAAATGTCGCCCAGGTTCCCGATAAAACACTTGGCTCAGAAAAGACAATAGATTGAAATTTCTTGTAATTTCAAGACTCGAATGCCTCCGTAGGCCCAGAGCTTGAAAAAGGCTTGACCAAAATATTTATTCTAAAAATAGTTTTGTAGACATGGCTCTTGGGGTTTCAGCCTTTCAGGGGTCAGGGTTAGATGGGTTTTTTTCGCGCAAAAAAAAGGGGGTCAGGGTTAGATGGTTCTTTTTCGCGCAAAAAAAAGGGGGTCAGGGTTAGATGGTTCTAAATTTTGACGAATACTAGTAAGTTGCCCGTGCGTTGCAACGGAGATCAAATTTTATATTGTTCATTCAAAGTGCTATGGAAGGCGAAGTTCAAACATAACAAAAAAATATTGAAGAATGATGACAAATATATGAATGAGTGGAAATTTAAACCTAGTTCATACATAAGTATACCACATAAATTAAAAAACATAATTGCTTCTACAAATTTTGTCAATGTCTCCTTTCACACGGCATAACAGAACTACTACGTGAGTACATCTTTGTACACAATATTCTTAGTAATTCCCCAATAAAAAAAGTGCTAGCTCAGCAAAGATGCCTACTGTATGACGAACACTCCATCTATCAGTGGAAAGTGAAATAACTGAAGTATGAGCTCTTTCAAATTTATAAAAACCCATCATTTACATTATAGGATGACAAATCAATTGATTGTAAGATAATGCCTAGAACACGGTGAGAAGCCAAGCAACATAGCTACTTATCAATAGCTTCGTAAATAATTGAAGGCTTAAAATGCCAAAGAACAGGAATGCCTAGAAGGTGCCGCTTCCTGACCAAAATTATCCCTTAATAATCTTGCAGGACCTTACAATGAACTGAGCACAAATTTGGAGTACGGAATTGGCCATGATTGTAACGTACATATATTGGACTGAATGTACACGGTATACTACAAAAAATAATGTGAATGAACTACAAACTACTCTGTTTTGGTGTCCCAGTCATTTTAAATAAGTAAAAATTACTGATTACGCAACCAATTACAAATGTTCAACTAATAAAACCAATGTCCGATTGAAGAATTCAACTCGGCTGAACAAAATGAACAAAAGGGTAATTAATAGAGGGGGATTTGTGGACCAGAAATTCTAACAGTATTGTACATGAATGAGAAAATTAGACCATATATACATTTTCTCACAACCATAAACTTATAAAACTTAACCATATTGTAGTCAGTCATGTACAACCTTTCAGACAAATTGTTGGTTTTAACGCCCTCTCCTGTTCTTGGATAAATCAAGAAAGGAAGGTTGTTTAACAAAGTCCAGTAGCCTCTTTATTAAGGCGAACTCCTTCTATCAACGCCATAAAGATTTGTTTCTTCTGATCACAGGGAGGAAGATTAATCCAGTCCCTCTCCTGCCTTCTTCTACAACTGAAAGGTTGCAGAGTTTGTGACGTTGGTTACAGTGGTACTCTTCAATGATCTGCAACTAAAGGTATAGTATGCTCTGAACTGAAATACAACTTCATGGACCAGCCTCTCTTCTCCCTTCCCCTTTCCTACTGTAAAGAAATAAAGAACTGAAAAAACACCACCTCGTAAGATTCCCTAACCATGTGTTCATCCACCCAAATGCTATCTTTCAGAAAAGCATACATCTAATCCAAAAATGAGTCCCACTGTTTACACTAAACACATAACTCCCTGTAAGCAGAAAAATGAGCGCTATGCCATCTAATTAACTGAACTGGTAAATCCCCTGAACAAACTGAAGTGAATTACGAAGCTAACAAACTAATAGAGTAGAGCATACTACTTGATGCCTCTGATCCTGATACAGCAAAGAAGAAAAGCTTATCTTTATTCTTTGAGTGTTGGACTTGGAATGTCTCTACTTAAGAATGCATTTAGCCATCTTGATCATGTTGCTCTTCTTACCTTGCCCCAAATCATGCCATACTAAAACCTGACATAGATCACAATGCAAAAACAGTCTGAATATTGAATAGTGCATCGGGTACAGTCTGAGAGGATGGAATACAAGGAATTTCATGAAGGATGAACTACAAATTTCTGCAAAGAATAGGTTAAAGAGGCTAAATCCTTTGTTGAAGAGGTACTTTGCAGATCCATGACTGATTTGTTTGTAAATATTTGTGAGAGACCATGGTTTCAACCACACAAATGTATGAATCTCATAGACATCTCTTCTCCAAAAAAAACGAACAATTCTTGGATCCAATGGGAGATACACGGAACTTACAGAGGGATGAGCATTGTTGGGAACGGACATAGTGGTTCGAGGTAGTTGGCACCAGGGCCGCCAGGAACGATTAGCTCGCCACCGGCAAAATTCCGCGTGCCTGCAACACCCAGTCCGGCTCATGGTTGTTCTGCCACTGGTAGCCTCCATGGGCAGCACGGCTATCGTCTCCGTCTCCAACGGCCTACACGGCCAGATCTAGATGGGGAGAAACCCAGGCAAGCTTGAAGGAAATCCAATTTATTAAGCGGAGGTGCCCCCAATCAAATCAACTCCGGCAGCCACCGGGAAAGTGAGGGGAGGGGCTGACGGCGAAGAATTTGGGAGGGGGTTCTCGATGGTTCGGTTTCTTTCGCGAGAGAAAAAGATTACTCGTCAGCGCCGCATGTGTTTCGGACAACTTCTCCAGAATACATCTCATGTGCGGGGTGTTTAAGTGGCTCGTGGGCAACTCACAGCCATAGATTCTAGATTCGACGATGCATACGGTACGAAGGCAGGCACACCATCACCACCAACTCGCTCTTTTATAGGAGTAGATATAGATGTCCAAAATTTAGGTTGTGGTTGCCCCCTGAGTTTATTTTATACTGTAGTTTGTTAGTATAAAATAGACATGAGACATAATAGCTCTAGAAAACAGTAAACTATGCAAGTACAAGAACTGAGTAAGCGAAACTGAATTATGATAATCCACCTTATAATTTTAAACATGGCCCAAGCATAGTCTTTGTGTTCGGGTATAATACAAGTCTTATAATTGGCAAGCATAGTCTTTGTGTTCGGGTATAATACAAGTCTTATAATTGGCAGAATAGGACTTCTCTTGCCTTATCTTCACGAGAAACTTCTTGACCTTAAAGGCATGTACACTATATGCTTGAGCGGCGTTAATTTGAACTCCAATCATGAGGAAAAATTACCTTAAAGGCATGTACACTATATGCTTGAGCGGCGTTAATTTAAACTCCAATCATGAAGAAAAATCTGAATGAGACGTCATTATAAGATGCAGTTTTATGATTTAAAGTTCACAAGGATGCGGTTTCTTGTTCCTCCAATACAGTAAATTTTAGTACGCACATTATGAGCCCTAAACGTGAGAATGCTTTGGAACAACTTATGAGTTAATTTTGCAATTCTATGATAACAGGACCTGGTTTATATGAGAAGATGCTCCTTTTAAGGCAGATAATAATCTTCTTCAATCTGTAGAGATATAGTTCAAAAAATTTGGCAGCTAATGTGTTCTCTATAGGTAACACAAAAAAGGTGTGAGCAGTCGTATTTTGCTGCAAATATTTACATAAATGCAAACTTACACATGTTACTATGTTTCTCACTACTCCCTCCGTTTCTAAATATAAGCCCTTTTAGAGATTTCAATACGTACTACATACGGATAGATAGACATGTTTTAGAGTGTAGATTCATTCTTGCTCCATATGTTGTCCATATTGAAATCTCTAAAAGGACTTATATTTAGGAACGGAGGGAGTAGAAGCTAATTCAACATGGACCGAAGTAATAATCTTAATCATAGTCATGAACAGCCATATTTTGCTGCAAAATGTTTCCGTAAATTCAAACTTACACATGTTACTATGTTTCTCACTAGAAGCTAATTCAAAATATTTCTATATGACGGAAGTAATTATCTTAATCATAGAGCCCTTAGTAAATATAATTTTTTGATATGTACAACATCTACGTATTTTCAAATGCAAAACTGAAGCAAATTGTAACTTCAATTCAACTCATATGGAAGCAAGACACTAAGACAGTGCCATAGTCCATATGCTCCATCTCTAGTTAAATTCCATGATGCTATGTTGAAGACGTTAATGGCTGCATTCTCATCTTTGTTTGTAAGATTATAAACACTAACCTCTAGCCCAGGTTCGTCTGGTGAACATGTAATAAGCAACAGTGCGATAACAGGGGCTAGAGATGAACAGTTTAGGCTTGTTCGCCATTCGGGTTCCATAGGTGGTCTGGCTCCGCCACTGGCTGGGAAGCTGCCTCAAGCCCTCAACGCAATATTTCCTGGCTTGATGTCACATTTCTTGTTACTCCAAATCAGTGAACTGGACCCAAAGTACCTCCAAACATCATATTTAATCATATTGACTGCAAGTATATAGTCTCCACAATACAGAACAAAGTTGAGATCATGAAATTATTTTCCATCATAATCAAGCTTGGTCAGAGAGTGCCAACTGTTCACCTTGAAAGAGCAAATGACACCTGTTAGGATCGAAAAGTATGTGAATCAAGTGTTCACAGCATGGTTAGGCACTCAGTTCAATACAACTCCTTCCAGGTTCCTTGACTAAACCTTTCTTGCTTAGTAGCATCCTATAGGTTGTCGCCTTCTTCCAATTCCCCAAACAACTGAGCATATTAGACATTAAGACACAGTGACCAGAATCTTGAGGGTCCAGGTTAAGTAATTCCTCTGATACTGAATCAATCGAAGAATCGGCACAATGAGAACTGCATGCACTTACTATAGGAGCCAAAACCTGATTCTGTAACTGAACAGGGATCTTCTTAAAGAACTCCTTAGCGATACTAATTTGACCAGACTTACATAGCAAATCAGTTATGCACATATAGTGCTCAATAGATGGTTCAATACCATATTCCTCTGTCATGCTGCGAAAACATCGAAGGCCTTCATCTATTAAACCAGAATAATTGCATGCTGTTAACAGATGGGTAAAGACAATGGCATCTGGTTGAACACCTTCCTTTTGCATCTCGCTGAAAAGGACGAGAGCTTCACTGCCTTCTCCGTTGCAAGCATATCCATTAATCATGGCACTCCAGATGGGTAAGTCTCTACTGGTAATGGCAACCACATCAAATATTTTCCTAGCCAGCTCAACGCTCCCACATTTGCAGTACGTGTCTATCAGTCCGGTAGCGACTCGCAGGTGTGACTGCAGTCCGATTGCTACCACATGCTCCTCAACCTTCCTCGCCTGCTTAGCAGACCCCAAATCAGCACAGGCGGAAAGAACAGATGAAACTGTTGCCTCATTCGGCTGTACATCTGTGCGCAACATGCTGTCGAACATTGTCAACGCCTTGTTCGGACGGCCACCTTCAACATATCCATTTATCATCGAAGTCCACAGCACCACATTCTTATAGTGAACCGCATCGAAGACCTCCTGAGCAGCCTCAAGATCCCCACACTTGGCATACAAGTTAACCAATGATGACACAAGATCTTGCTCGGACTCAAAACCACTCTTGATCAGAAGAGCATGCACACCCTTGGCCACTAACAGGTTCCCTAGCAGAACAGTGGATGAGACAAGATTAAGAAGGGCGACCGAATCGAATCTGTACCCAGCACCCAGCATACGGTTGAGCAAAGCAAACACTTTGTTAAAGTCGCCCGTCTGCAAGAGTCCTGATGCCATTGCGCTCCAAGAAACTACAGACTTGTTGTGCATAGAGTCAAACAACAAGGACGCAGCATGCAGCTGGTCATCACGGACAAGCATAGTGAGCACCGAGTTGCAGACCGGCAAATCCTCGTCAAGGCCAGATTTGAGGCTATATCCATACACGGGCAAGCCAATATTTCTCGTGGCCATGGAGTCAGAGCACCCAGACAGCACGCCGACGAGCGTGCCCCCGCCGGGGCTCACCCCTAGGCCCCGCATCGCGTTGAACATGGCGACGGCCTCGTCGAGACGAGAGGCCTTGCTGTACGCGGTGACCATGCAGTTCCAGGACACGAGGGTCCGGCTGCTGGTGGGCATTTCGTCGAACAGGCGGCGCGCGTCGGGGAGGGACGCGCACTTGGCGTAGAAGTCGAGCAGCGAGGTGCGGACGAAGACGTCGCCGGCGGCGCCGGAGAGGAGGGCGTGCGCGTGGATGGAGCGGCCGAGGCGCGGGAGGCGGAGCGCGGCGCAGGACTTGGCGAGGGAAGGGAAGGTGGAGGCGTCACCGCCGCGCAGCCCCGCGGCGAGGAGCGAGGCGTAGTGCCGGACGCAGAGAGTGTAGGACCCGGACGCGGCGGCGAGCTGGATCAGGCGGGTCCAGTGGCGGAGGGTGGCCGCCGGGGCCGGGGCGCTCATGCTGGGGCTCACCGACGGGGAGAAAGATTTTGATCAGCAATACGACCATTTTTTGTCATCAGGTTCGTGCGGTCAGTATCCAGCAGTATGCTTTCCAGGCCTTCTCTCCAACCGAATAGAGTAGAGTTTTTCTTAAACAAAAAAGATCATCAATGAATTTGCACTGAATTGAAAATGGAGATCATCCCTATTCTCTATCCACAAGACACAATGCATAGCAAGGATGAGTACTTCCACACAGAATTCATCAAATCATCATCGGACAGATCCCAAAGATGAATCAAATGTGATTGCTTTTTCAAGAGTATGCCTAGACGTACCATAACTTTACAAAAGGCAGAAAAACAATTACAAAACAACTACAACTCGCTGCGAACAACTAGCACAACAAAAACACCACATCCGGGCAAGACCAAATACAACCACCTACGACCAAACAAAACTACAAGCAAAAGAGCTTGTCCTAAGTGAGAACAGTACCACGTCACAACCAAAGCCGTGCACCTCCGAAGACCACCGACTCCCCCTGGACTTCGCTCGTCGACGCACCATCACCCTTGATGCCTAAGAAGAGGTGGCAGGTGAATGGAAAGACTTGATCAGAATCGAGGAAGACACCATCTTGGAGACACCGACGAAGGGTGGCCAGAGCTCAAAATAGGACCACGGCGAACACCGGAGGAGAACTAGAAGGAGCCAAGCCATGTCTCCAAACACGATGCTCCCAACAGAGGAGCTACATCGAGGACGCCGCCATCATGCCGATCCAACACCGAATCAAGGCTTTCGCCCGGAGACAACACCATCTTCGAACGGGCGAGGGAGAATGCAAGCACACCTCGACGACGCCTCCAAGGAGGGGGGCGACACCCATGGGCGCCATCGCCGCCGGCCCGGCAAATGCCGTGCAGATTTTCATCCGATTGTTGCACCTCACCACACCGCGAAGGAATTGGGCAGCACTATCCAAATAGCCTCGCACCGCTGCCACCATAGCACCTCACCGTCGTAGCCGCAACACCTCTCCAATCGAACATAGTAGATTTTTTAAAAAAAAATCAACAATGAATTTGTACTGAACTGAAAATGGATAATTGATCATCCATATTCTGTATTCACAAGACACAGCGCATAGCGAGGATGAGTACTTCCACAGAGAATTCATCAAACTTCGGACGATGATTCCGAAGATGAATCAAAGGTGATTGTTGAGGCACACGAAGAGAAGGAGGGATGACAAAACGTTCATAACTTTAAGGGTTACATCGGAGGATATAGTTCTCGATGACGTTGGGAAGGGGTCACATTTAACTCTACAAAGACTACTTTGCAACTAATCCGACCTTTCATGAACAAATGTTTAGGCATAGCTTCTGGATAGCTAAGCATGCCTTCAAGTGTCTTGTGGGGGGTAAAAACCATGATGATTACTTCAAGTAGAAGAGTGATTGCATTAGGCTACTTGGGTTTTTCTCTTTTCGTAAATGCATTGCCGCTATCAGGATACTTCAATATGATTCACTAACTGATTCTATAGATGAATACATTCATATGTGTGAGAGCACATGTCTTGAAGCAATGGTAAGACTTAGCATCAAACTATTGAAGGTATTCTGTTAAGAATACTTGAGATCACCAAATGCTTAGGACATAACCTAACTTTTGGCACTTGCAAGTGCAAGAGGGTTTCCCAGGATGTTTGGATGCATCAATTGCATTTTTTTGAAAAGGAGGATTTCCCCCGGCCTCTACATCTAGATGATACATAAAACCATTTCATTAATTATTCATAAAGACCTTACAAAGTAGTACACCAGGTAGTCTGAAGTCAGCATCTTAGCAACAAATGTCGCTACTCTTATCCACTTGATGAAAGGGTGCCGATAGTCCGAGCCTAATACTAAACAGGCATCGCAATAGAGCCTAACATCTAAAGCCGGAGGCCGCAACCGAGCCAGATACTGGGCTTGGGTACAAACCGGTCTGATACACTCTCATGTGTCATCGCCGCCGTCTTCCACCAATCCATCTTCAGAGTCAAACTAATGCACCAGCTGTGCCAGGCCTCTCTGCCATCGACGCCACCATGATGCCAGACAACATCCTCCTCCTACGCAAGTCCATCTCTACACATCGGATGCCGAATCTCCACTGCGCCATGCCGCCGAGATGCGCCGCCAGCAATAAGAAAGATGAAGCACCACTCCACCAAATAAGTTGTCCACTGGTCCCTCGAGTCCGTGTACACCTCCAAGAATGATGCCCTCAAGGGGGGAACAACACCAGAGCGTCGCCGTCATCCTATCTATTGATCTAGGGTTTCCCTCGGAGGTAGCAGATATAGATCTGGAGCTTTTCCACGACGATGCCTTCAAGAAGGTAACGACACAAAAGAGTGCCACCATCGCCAATCTTGGCAACAAGCCAAGAACAAGGTTTTCACCCAGATCCGCTCGACGAATCTCCATCACGCATCGTGTGCATGGACCACCACCGATCTCTGCCGCCGCAGAGCGAGCAAGACACTCTGGCCAGAGGGCCAACCACGCCTGCGGCCGGCCAGTCCACCAAATCCCTCCATGCCGCCAATGATGCGAGGTGGCGCAACGTCGAGGCCAGGTGCAGTAGCTCCCGCCACCCCGGAGGCTTGAATCCAGGGGCACACTTCCGCTCGCCGAGGTGCCCCGTGTCACCCTCACGTGCGAGTAGGAGAGGCTCCTCCGCTACCACCATCAGCCACCCAGGCTTACCCCAGCAACTTCCTCCAGTGGCGGCGGAGTGGAGGGATGGGAGGGGGAGTGCCCGACGGCTAATATTGGGGCCCCTCAACCGCCAGCGCGGGAGGCGACGAAGGGGAGAGGAAGGAAGGAAGTAGCATGTTGCGGCGGCGGCACTAGGTTAGGTCGCTATTAGCCTAGTCTAGAGCACATGTTTGGGGAGGTTAAGTTAGAGGATCTGAGCACTCCAGATGCATCAATTGCATGCATGGGAAATTTAGAAAAGCTGCTCATATGCTTTGGAAGGAAAAATTCAGTGCCATACTAAAGAGTCCACCATGATCCTTTATTCTGTGGCTTCATATGACATGTTGATTTGACACTCTTTCTTTGGGATGTCAGGGCCTCACAACGACATCAACACTCCAGCGCCCCTGCGGAGCTTTATTGGGGCAAAGCCGTGTCATGGCCCGCCCACCAACGCACATAGGTAGCAAGGCTGGCTAGCTTAAATTAGTTGTTGGATGTATTCCATCGTCGGAAGCATGAAACACATGCAGGTGACACTTAGATTGTATGGTGACATGTACGTGTTAAAAGTGCATGTTAGTATGTTAGACATATATTTATGCTTGTAATTTGCAGCTACACATGACCTCGCCCCCTTGTTTTTTGTTCTTAGCTCCGCCTCTGCTTCAGGGGTCACCATTGTTTGCAAAACTTCATGAAGGAAATGCTCTGGAGTGCAACTATAGAGTCAATGTCAACAACTATACCATGAGGTACTACCTTATTGATGGTATACATTCTCAATGAGCTACAATTGTGAAGACAATCTGCAATTCTCAAGGCAACAAAATATCTATTTGCCTAGATGAGAGAAGTTTGAGGAAAGATGTGGAGAGAGCATTTGGAGTGTCCAATCTCTTTGGTCTATTTTTGGGAATGATAGACATTATGCGAGGTCATGAGTACTTGTGTCATCATTCACATCATGATGATCGAGGATGAGTGTGATCAAGCTAAAAATCTTGACTCTGACTATGTTGGAGAGCTTACGACCTAGTACAAGAACCGACTGAACTTGAAGATTTTCTTGAGATGCATCTGAAAATTCATGATAGTTAAATGCATCAAACAACTTCTTAATGATATAGTGAAACACGTGTGCGCATGTCATGGAAACCGGTAAGAAAAACTAGGATCTTTAGAAAGTGCAAACTATTTATTTTAAAATTACAAATTGATTTTTCTATGAATTGTTTGCTGTGGATTATTTATCATGCAATTATGATTGCAAAAATTAATGAAGTAGTGTAGAATTGAATTGAAAATAGAGGTTTGGATATTTGGGTTTGAATAAATTGGAGATGCTCTTGGGTGTCATGATAGAATTGTCCAACCTAGTTTATAAGAAAGGAGGATGAACCTTGAAGATGCCTTAATCACAACCTTGAAAGATGGCAGAAATAGTATCACTTTTTGAAGACTACCCGACACAACTGACGTAGAATTACCCACATATGTATTCCCACCCTCATTGTCAGAATAGTCTCTAGTTTTCTAAGTTAACTTCTCTAAAGCTCACTTCCTTTGTGACCATGCTCATCAGTACTGGCTCTCTTGGAAGAAGGGTATAACCTACCTGACCCAACAAATATAGTGTTTTTTTAAATGGGAGGTCCCACAAGAACTTTATCCACCTCATAGAAAAAATCATAAAAATTGTCGCCCAAGACACCTTCAGCAACAAGCGGAATCCTTTTCACATTAACACACACGAGAAGAACTCTAGCATATTCAAGTTTGTACACAGTAGCTCCATCTACCTCCAATGTAACTCCCACCAACGACCCAATGTAAGCTAAATTTGCATCACATATCTTATCAAAGGGAATATTACACATTTTAACCCAAGGTTACTATAAAGATTTTTTTGGAACCAACATTATAAGTCCAAGAGGGAGACTGAACACAACTTTGTCATTCTGCATAGGCAACCTCTTAGCAATGAAACAAACCTACTCAACCTCCTGAGGATTATAAAAGAGCATAGTAAGTTGAGTGGGGCTAATCGTTCTTGACCATTAAACTCCTATTCAATCTCCCTAGAAGAGGCACATCCCTCAACAACATATACAACAACGCTACTCACACCTTCCTTAACCTGCTTCACAGTACTCACACCTTCTTTTCTTTGGTTTCTGGATTTGTTTGAACCTTGAACTCGTTGTGTTTTCAGATGTTGTGGTGGTTGCTTTATAATCTAAAGTGGGGGTAAAC